AACAGGATAACGCAGAGGTTCGTGAAAATTAAAGTCAGCAGAGGCTTGGTTAAGTGTGAATCTGGTGAAACTCAAATCGAGAACTTTTGGGCAATGCTCAACCATTTTCGAAAGTGGTGAACTACACCGATTCGGCGTCAATAACACTTTTTCAATAAAAGATGAGTAGCCACTTTCACTGACGGATCTAAACTAGATGCTAGGTTGTGACACTGTCTTATGGGTACTCATGTTAAAATGATGGGTTGCCTTCAAATGACTTTCGCTACAGCTGCAGAGACATAGATTAAGAGGAGTCGGTAGAGCATTACTTCTGCCAGCCCTGAGAGCGGCCTGTTATCTTTCTTTCGGTAATTTCTACCACTATTACCTCGCAGAACTTGAATTTGTACGCATCAGTTAAGTCCTGAAAAGTGCGATGAATCTTCTTCACAGAACCAACATAGGTATCGTAACAGTCTAGAAGGCCTAAGCGCTCTTGAGCTGAGTTCCGTGATCGAGAGAGCTGATTAACTAACTAACTAGCTAAGAACGGTTTTGTTAGTCTAAAAAACAAAAGTCAATACTTTATTGGTTAATTATGATATGCACTGTAAAATTTTTGTCTTCATAGAGGGATATAAATACCTAGAAAACCTTATCAACTTTTCTATATATTTTTTGGGGAAAAAATTGTATTATGCTTTAATGATTTGCTACCTTTTTTTTGGAGCATAACTAAACAACAACTTATTGAATCGTGAATCGATACACTGTTGTCTACCACTGCGCATAAGTCGGACAGACAGAAATACGTCGTAATGAATAGATGAAGTATAGAACGACAAAACTGCTTCCGGCTCAATGGCAGGGCAATTGTTTGTATTGTATATTGGCAACGAGGTAAGCGCATAGCGCGAGAATTATACCTACAACGAACGCCACTTTGTGAATGACCACGTACTCTCCGTACTGCTCCAGACTCAATTTGTCTGTATGCAGTGTTTATTGTCATGCAACGACATCCTTAAATGCCAGTATAAGTAAACTCGTTTATAATTATTATATATAGTACATATCTACTTATAAATTTGTATGTACACGATTCTTTTACTAGCCGAACTCATTCCCGATTCCCTTTGTTAACGGCATTCAGCTAGAACTGTTGTACAACAGTAAACAACAGTGGCGTAGCAACACAGCAAAGAATGGTAATTTATGTACTCGTATGCACAATATATTCCGGGGGCGGGTGGTGCGGTTAAAATAATTACGCTAAAGGCATAAACGGAAAGTGGATTGAGTGGATAAGAAAACAATCGAGTTATTATAATGATAAAGAAAGGTAATTGGAGTGAATGTCAGCCATTTGTATGAAAAGTATTTAAAAAATGGCGACTCTACAGGAAATGTATGCATTATATAAATCCACAAGTGGTGTGGTCAGTGGGAAGCGAAATAAAAGAACGTGATAAAATAAGAAATGTCAAATATCTACAAGCAGAGATGAGCTTCACTTCGTTTTTTCTCTTGGGTGCGAAGACGAAGTTGGTGTGCAACTAGGGGCTCAATGTGGACCTGACATCGGTATGATATGATGCTTTCTGATAAGACGCGCCCAGGATTACTCCATCTATTACTAATTGAACTCGCTATAAACCTGTGTAAGACGACAAGCCGGTCCAATTCATTTAGAAGTACACACTTCGAATGCTTTTTCTCGGGTTCGCATATATTGTAGCTAGACGGCGTAAGTAAAGCGTTAATATCATCGCGAGCATATGAATTAAGGTGTCTCTGCTTCGTCTATAACCTCACTATATTAAGTTCAGAACAGGGGAACGAAGTGCGTGCAGAACTTTTATGCAAAGGTCTTGTGATTTTCAACTTCTCTAGGCTGTCAAATTGTAATTAAGTGAGATTTAGATTTACTGCTCTGCAGCGTCACATTTAGGTCTACAGTAACAGCGGATTGCCTATTACACCTAATTAGGCAAATCAGAGCGAGATTAATTTTTTTTTTTTTTTTTAAACCTTTAGTTAAAGTGTAAAATTTTACAGACTAAAGATTTGAAATGAAGACCTGTCGAAGATCTCTTCATGAGATGACTGAATAGAATATACTATCCCTCGTTTGGGTCTTTGATCACAGAGACTAGGGAGAACTGTATGGGGGACAAACTTGCTAGACAAAGTACGACTATGCAGATTCTTTCGTATAAAGAAACCTTTGGCTTTTAAAGAACAGCTGGTACAAACACGCTGCCCAAGTCGCCAAGTTATGATCGACTATAAAACGTGCGGGGCGAGATAGATACGCAGGAATGAAGAGGAAAGCGGGACGCATGTGTAGATAAAAAAGAAAGAGGTGGTCTAGCGACTGGTGCCCAGAGTATACGGAATTCGCGGAGGGAGCATTTCTCCAGCCTGCTGAATGCCAGTAAAAATGACATCAGGAAAAACCGTTATCCCCATGTGTAAGCTGATGTTAAGCAACATCAAAAGCTCCGTCAGTATCTCGAAGGACTTCTCCGAGCAGTTCGAGACATAGCAGAGTTTCGAGGCAAGGTAACACGTTATTGTGGGACTTCTTTAGCCTATAACTGGAGAAAATAATAAGAGCTGCAGAGCCGAATAGAGGAGTTAAAATCATCTATAAGAGTGTACAGCTGCTGGCGTACGTCAATGGTATATATGATATTGACATCACTGCCCTCAACAATCGTGCCGTGAGTTCTGCTTTTTCCAGACTTAATAAAGAAGCTAAGGATATGGGTCTGGTAGTGAACAAGGGCAGCATGAAAATCTCCCGTCATGCCGCAAGCAGTCATCGCATTCGTGACTCGGCTTTCACGGCACTGTTGACAGTCATAACATTGAAGTCGTAGATATCATCGTCTATCTTGAAACCAGCAATAACAGACAGCCTTGAAATTTAACGCAGAATCACCCTTACGAACAGGTGCTACTTAGGACTGAGTAGGCAATTGAAAAGTAAAGTGCTCTTTTGACGAACAAAGTCCTAACCCCACGTCACTCTCTATACTCGGCTGTGCGGAGGCATAGACGATGACAACATCTGATGAAACGGTTTTGGAGTTTTAGAAAGAAAGAAGTTGCGTAAAATTTGTGGTCTTCTGCGAGTTGGGTAAGGTGAATACCGCTGCCAGTGAAACGATGTGCTGTACGATATATACGGCGACATTGACATGGTTCAGTGAATCAAGAGACAGTGGCTATGCCGGTTCGATCATGACGTCCGATTGGAAGAAAATACTTCCGGCGGCGAAAACAGAGGAATAGGAAGAGAGAAAGGAAGATCTTCACTACGTTGGTAAATCGACTACATTCTTGTAAGCCAGTAAAGAAGAAGAATGTTGTGGGAGAAAAAATTGGCCGGAGAAGGTCGAGCTCGAAGTTCGGAGGTGAGCTTCGTAGTAAAAAATTAGTGGTGATGTGGGATGACCATTCTTCCTCCATACCTCCTATTAATGCATTTGGGTGTAATAAGGAAATTGCAGTTTTACAACAACATTAGACATGCATACATACACTTCATTTGAGACATAGCGTCCTGGGGCCAATTATATTGCAGATGCAAATAAATTAAGCGATGGAAAAAATCGTAATGGAAATGCAAAAAATTATATACTTGTTGTCATGACAGACACTTTTTCATGATAATCAGAAAACTTTTTCAAATTAAAATTACTGAAAGAAGTGAAAAACAATTTGATTACGAAGAACTTCAGGCGAGGAAGAGGAGTCCTTATTAACAACAATGTCCTTTAAAGTTTATTCAACTTAACTTTTTGTTGAAGTTGTGCATATGTATGTATATAAAAGCAGACTTTTTTTAAGTTTCTTTGGTAACAAAAAATTTATTAATAAAATCATTTATGGTCTGAAATTATTTTATAGAAAGTTTCGTTGCAAGCGTTAAACGTTAATAATTCTTATAGTCTGTAAATATTTTTTATTATGTACAGACATACATATATACAAAAGGAAGTACATATATGTATACGTATTCTGTGCAAAGCACATGCAAGTGGCTCTAATTGAAATGCAACAACACTGTGACAAGTAAAATATGGCTGTGAAAATTCACAGAAATAAAAGGCGTAGTGACCATGAACCTTGGACTTAATGAAACTACAATATGCAAATTGTTTGCTCATATACCAACACACATACATACATATGTGAGTAGCTGGTAATAAATATTGTTGAGTTATAAACATGCAATTCGGTCTACGCGAATAAAATACAACCGCACATAAGTTCATACTAATTCGCATAGTCCAGGTATATATTTGCAAAGAAACTCGGCCAAATACCTCGCCATGGCGTAAAGGATCACATACGAATAATATTTATAAATAGAGCGAGATGTTAGACGAAGATTACCGACCTTGGAAAATATATGCGAGCGCCAAGTAGCAGTAGAATAGGGTAAAGAATTCGAAGAATTTTGCAGTCGAAAGTAAGCACAAAGTACTTAAGAATAGTCGTGGAAGCTTAATGTGGAAAGCGAGTGAAAAGGACATCAGTAGTCCTTTTTATATATAATAGCATGTTGATTTGCGTATGTGGCCTTTCCCCAAACCTTTCGCTTTGGATCTTCTTTGCGAACGTTAAGCCAAAATTTTTATTTTCTGTAGAGCTCCATTAAAGAGGAGGGCTACGTAAAACCAACACATCCGGAAAGAGTCTTGAGGCTCTCAAGGCAGAGCTTCATGCGACTTTAAATATATATATATAAATTTGTTTGTAACCGCTGAAGCGATTTTTCGGCCGAGCTCCTCCTCCAATTTGCTGTTTTGGGCGGGATGTTTTTCCAACAAATGAACGGACCTACAGTTTATACTAATCCGCCTCTGACCGGCTGATGATTTTTTTTACGAGGAGCCTTTATTTCATGTGTGAAATACACTCGGAGAGCTTGACATACCCTGGCCGAGGGGCGACCGCATTTAGAAAATTTAACTTAATTTTTTTTAAATTAATTTTCCATAACTTTTGGTTGTTGAATGCATCGGGATATGAACCCGTGCCTTCCGAATACCAACCGGCTACCAGCGGCAAATCTGATGGTAAAGAACATGGTATTCATAACTGCCTCGAGGCTACAGGCTTCAAATAGGCTGAGAAGCAGTAGTACAGCGTTGGCCTTAAAAGTACTATTAGACTGAATGCCTGATCCTGAGAAGCTTTTGTCAAGCGGACGAATGGAGCAAGTGATTCAAGTTCGCGAGCAAACTAGGCCTTGTTTTCAAATAATCCTAGACGTCCCAAAGGTCGACCAGCCTAGCCTAACATAGGCCTTGTTTTCAAATAATCCTGGACGTAGTAAAAGCGTCCATTTCAAATTACAATTCGGCAGTTCTCTCCTTTGGATTGCTTTTGTCATTCATCACATTACAAAAATAGTAGGATAAATCTATTAATTTCATCTATATTTTTCGAAAAATCGCACCCAACTAGCTTGTAGGGTCTTATCAGTGTGAAAGTGTTTGTATTGAAAGACTTGAGCTACAAAGAGCGGCATTCTATCATTCTTTCTCTTAAATGCTGACTGTCACGGCTGATAAAATAACCCTACATGGTAAAAATCACTTGATGCTGGATTATTGGGAGCCACACCCTATGCTCTTGCTAGGTACTTGGAATCATACTCGAACTCTCATATTCTGCTTGCCAAGATGTTTGCCTGTATCAGGAACGGCAAAAAAACACACCCCTCGGAGCTCTCCACTAATTTTGAAGTAGTATCATACTTAATATATCTCCCCCTGTGCATTATCCTGCACCATCTCCGACCACCCGAAGAAAGGTCAGCCCGCAATACCTTTCTCATACGGAGCTCCCCTCGAGCTTACTCTAATCAATTCACAAGGTCAAGAGGAATAGACTAGACAACCCCAATTTATCATAAGAAGCCCAACACCGATCTTTTCCAAGGGCCATAGGGCTCGATGAATAAATTCAAGGGTAACAATTGTTAACATCAATCACTACTCTTCAACGTCCTTCCCCTCTCACCACTCTAGCTTAGAGGCGATATTTAAACTGGTCATTCACAACGGTACGTTGTGTACTTTTCGCTAGAAAAACATCAGCTTCATGCACCCAAAAAATTCGGTGCAGATAGTGGGCAACCAGCATTGGGTTCTCTTGAAAGTTTAACCGCCATCAACCAACAGCTCTGGCGAAGGTGGACGCTACAGGGTCTAGTATAAGTCGATTCCTGTGCCCTGTGAAATTGCTGATATCAGATGTGCTGGCAAATTTTAAATAATTAAAAAGCGTTAGAATGAAAAAACCACTGCAGTAGAATTACGTAAACTTGCGACCTAAAACCTAGACTTCAAAACGTCAGCAATAAAATACTAAAGAGCCAGTTTATTTGTCTGAATGCAATGTGCGGTTTGAATCCGTTTAACGGTGAGCAAGCGATTTTCATAGATTTTATGTCAGTTAATTTGTTCTGGAACATTTTTCAAATGTTTGATCTTCAATCACAATTCTTTGTGTTTAGCTGTCTTCATCGGAATATGAAATCTCTCGGATTGATTGGTAGGAGATTTGGAAACGTTAAACGAACATGGAATGGAAACACCGAAATCCGATCTTGATATCAAAAGTGCGTCTATGATTTTAAAATATTCTTCCTAATTTAATGTGATATTCTAAATTATTATTTCTTTTCTTGTTAACCTCCTAGATTTTTTCTCAGCTACTTATGGCATTTTCAAATGGTAGGAGTTTTCAATGCATGGAATGCATGATTTTGTATTGAAAATTTTAGTGGCCAATCATTGGCACTGTTCCAGTTGAAATAAGAGTGAAAATCGTGTTTTTAAATTTGAAGCTATCTTTCAATATTTGTGACCCAAGTCCTAAAACAAAAATATATGCAAATTCGTCTGGATTTTATTCCCGCTTAGCTCATGTAGCTCCATCTCCATTTCGTTAAGTTGTGTTCCTCTTTATAGCGTACATACTAAGTGTCGCCTACATTCTAAAAAAATTTTAACCAGCATCCCCACCTTTAAATTTTCACAGAGCTCTTCGGCATAAACTAAGCTAAGTATTTAAGTGCTGCTGGAATTGGAACTAACACTATGTAGTGAACTATTCGATGAACTTTTACGCGCCAACTCTGCTAAGTCGCCAGCGGCAACAGTTGCGGCAACATTTAAGTTGATTGCATTAGCACCATGTCGACCCGGTTGTGGTGATGTTGGATTTGAAAGGCCTGTTTCATGTATTGGCGATAAAGTTGGCGAACGTGTGCGTAGGAAATGTTTGCGTCGCTGCCGACGATACACGTTGCTTAGCGTTGGCAGTCGTTGTACGGGCGATAAAGTGCCTGCACTGCCAGCTGATGAATGCGAGACAAAACTCAATGTCTCTGCGAGATCATCCAAATTTGTGGGATTTGGTATTTTACGACGTGTTGGTGGTGGCAAGGCCGGCGGAAGTGTAAATCCCATGGGTGTCGTATATGTCATGGACGTGTCGTCACGTATCACTGATGTGGGCAGAATTGTTTCGATTGTATTGGGCGTCTGACCCGAGGGTGTTGTTAAATTACTCGAATCACTGTATATACTTTGATCACTCCGTTCCTCTGTCGATGCTGTCGTTGTCGATGAAGGCGGCTGCGGTGAGCTGCTGTCGTTGCAATGTTGTTGGTGTTGATGGTGATTTAGCTGATGGCGGCCGTAAGCACCATTACTGTTTGCTTGTAAATGTAATGGGCGGATTTGATTCTGCTTAACTTGATGTTCATCGCATGGCGGCAGCACGCTATTACCCTCAGCTTGGCGGCAACGCGTACGACGGTAACGTCCCAGCATACGCATCATGTGTCGTAGACGCGGCAACGGCCAGGTGCGTGCGTTACGTGTGCGTGAGCTCGATTTGAGATTGGCACTGCGCGGAGAGGTTGGGCGGCTGTTACTACTGAGGCTGCATGTCGTGCTGTCGCCGCTGCCATTAACTGTCTTTATGAAATGCACTGGTATTTCGGTAGCATTCATTTTTTTGCCTGCGCCACCGGTGCTAGTGGCAGTACTGTGTTGGTGACGCATCGCCAATGCGGCGATTATATCATTTGGCACATCTGGGCTGTCGGGCACATTTGAACAGCAATTCCATTTTCGACGCCACCGTTGATGTTTCGAAATGGACTTCATACAACAACGCTGATGCTGTTCGCTGGTTACTATTTTCGAGCTCGCCGAAACGGTGCGCGGTGTTGGACTCAACTCCGCGTGACCTGAGGCGTGACGTTGCCTGCCGCCGGCGCCGCGAACGCCACTCACATCACTAACGCGCTTACTCACCATCGGACTGCGTACACGAAATGTACACAGCGTACACTGTTCGGTGTACTGCATGTATGAACGACGCGCGCTAATCGTCTCCAGATCACTGACCAGTGTGGCCTTGGAAGTGGCGGCGCTTACACGGCGTTGTGTCGCCAACGCGCCAAATGTAGAGCAGCAATGGAAGGTCTTATAACCACGATCGGCTCTTTCAGCGCCGTCATTGGCGTCATAAAAACTGCCGACTCTAGCGCTATCACCGCCGCTGATATGTGAGATTGCAAGCGGTGAGTGCACGGCGTTTTCCTCGAGTAGCGAGCACATATAGTAAGTCTTTGCGGCGGACTGATGATACTCTCTGGAATTGACACAGCAATGCAAACGCAAATCACGACCATCGGCACTATCACGCTTTCGTGGCGGCGGCTTACCCGCTTCAAAATAATGCAAATCAGCCGGATTGATGGCATTTGGATGCCTTGTGCTGGAACAGAAGTACATTTGGTCACAGTCATTAGTCTTTTTGGACGGAGTTAAGGGGAAATGTGTTTGATCTTCTTTTGGCAGGTTTGAAATTGCTTCTTTAGCCTTCAGCTCTTGTGCTTGCCGATGATTGCGTATATACTCGTACGTCGTCAGACCCAGGAAGGAGATGTAGATGTGGAAAAAGCAGAGGTGCATCAGCAGACCAGCAGTGATGGCAGCCAAGACGCCCAAAACGCCAATAAGCACCAAGAATATCGTATCACTAACACCAATGCCGACAATTGTCGCAGCTGTGACATTGTTGCTGGTGAAATCACCCGCTGTGTCGTCCGACGCCACCTCAGCAGCCGTGAATGTTTGGTTCAAGTGCAACAGCAGGGTATCGTTCACTGTATCCGCAATTAGAGTGCTCACATTCTCAGCAAGTGTTGGCAAAGACACATTTGTTTCCGCTAACAAATCGCTATCCAGCAGATAGGCGGTTATATTGTTGGTGACATTTGTGGCAAAATCGATGTGCGCTGTAGTAGTAGTAGTATTGCCGAAAGTGTCATTGAGACCACTCACATTACGTACGAACAATACCGAACCGTCTTCGCTGTGCGCCTCGTTAGCGGTAGCTACGCGCGCTAAGCCGTTATTTGCATCATGACCGTCCGCGGACTGCCAGAAGCTCAACCATTCAGGATGCACATAATAAAGCACGATTTGCGCGACCACAGCGACAACAATCACTATCGTCGCCGCTACAGCACTGACCACACACATTAGAAATGCCGCATAATTACGCGAACCGATACAATGATTCAGCCATTTGCAGTGATGATCGAATTTCCCAACACACTTGTTGCACACCGAACAATGTTTCGTGCGCTGAGACGACGTGCGTATGTTACACAGATGACAGCGACCGTTCTCAATAACATGTGCGTGCTTGTTGCGATCGAACTCGGGCACAATGCGATCGTTACGATGGACACGTTGCAATTCACGATCAGCGGGATCCGTAAGCAGTGCAGTTAAATGCGAAACGACGTGTGCGATGAACAAACCACCGACCAGACCGTAAAGTGGACCTTGAATTTCGCTCGTGAACGATGGTATTAGCACACAGAATGTAGCAATGCCGAACAGTATGAGTACAAGCCAACCGAATACTTGTAGCGGATGTAAAGGCAATTGTAGGCCATGCAAACGACGACCCCGACGATGATGTACATCGGCGATATTTTCCTGAAATGAGATGCAATGCGTTAGATCACACCAATGCTCGTCTGTGCGTGTTTGTTTCTGTGGCTCGGCGTTATTTGCCGGATGTGTGGAGACGTTGGCAGCAGCTGTTGCTGTCGGCTTCAAATAAGAACAAGAGTGCTGATGCGTTGCTGGATCGTCGCCGGTATCTGAAGCTGATTTTGGTGATGCAGGCGGTTTTAATGTATCCTCGTTGCGTGCTGATGAATGACACTCGTTGGTGATGCTACTCGTGCTGATGGTAATGATATTATCGCCACCATTCACATTGGACTCATTCGCGATCTTTACAGTAGACCAGTCTTCGACTCTATCTCTATCTGTCGTCGCCAGAGTCTTAGCAGCATTAACTTGTTTGGGCATTTTTCAAAAGCATCGGTTGCAATTGAGTTGCGAAGATAAAATTCAAGCTGTTGTTGGTTGCGAAGTGGTGACGCTAGACGATAGACTGGATGAAGAGTATGTTTTAGTTGACGGAGATGAAGTGAAGAGGTGAAGTAATGGTTTTTACGTAACGGGAGTAAGTACATCACAGTGCCGTCACACAGCAGAAGCGACAAAGCGTTGAACTATAAGTGTGAGGGAGTTGTATAGCTTCCCAAACGTTTCACTATCAAACTACGTACAGCTAGCTGGTGCTCTTGGGATTTAGTTCAAGCCAAGCTTAAAGTCTAAACTTAAAAAGTCTATTTTTGGGGGGATTTCCGGTCACTACTATTTTGTAATATTTTTCACTTTAATTACCACACTGCACTGGAATTCAATATCAGCCACAAATAAAAAGCATGCATTTTATCAGCAAAACAATTTCTGCTGCCTGTTTGTCTGCAGCTTGACAGTTATGTATGTATGTACATACGTGGGGTAGAGAAACGATAACACTACACAAAATTGAAACTAAAGTAATTACAGACTGTTGGAGCCGTCGAGCATTGAGTACCTTTGTAGCAGATAAACTCTTGCACACCAAAAAAAAAATATATATATGTATATTCACACGCACTTAGATAGATACTTTCATACATACATATATACATCTACATTATTGTATATATATATGTATATATGCTTGTGTGTGGCCTCTGAGTGGGAGTATGTATATTGCAGGCAGGGTCGTTAAGGAAGTGACTGCTCGTCTGCCGTCGTTATGTGCTGTTATGCATGTGTCTGTATTTCTTTCTTTCTTTCTTCTCTTTTATGTAGCTTGCTTCCGTTTGCTTGAATCACTTTTGAAAGTAGGCCGCAGGTTGTACACTCACACAATTACGCTAAACATATACGTATGTGAGATTTAGAAGGCTGGTAGGCTGGCTGGTTGGTTGGTTGGTTGGTTGGTTGGCTGGTTGGCTCTAGGCCGCATGTCAAGGTTACAACACGGATGCTTACACGTAAACCACTCGTATTTATCCTTCGCTTTTGCTTCACTACACGGCGAGTGGCAAATTTTTTATGTTTTTTTTTTTTGTGTCTTTGTAATTTTTTAGTTTACCACTGGTTTGTTGGGTAAATATTTCGGTTCATCAAATCACTAGCACACACATGAGGCTATAAAAAAATATTATGCGAAGCTGGAAAATCGAAAATAAATCCCTTTTGGTAGAGATTTTATTTGCTTGTGTTTTTTCATTTCTTCACACACTTTGCAGGTTTACGTAATCTGTTAATTTGAAAACTGAATATTTTTTTGTAAATTTTCTATGCACAAATCCTTCTATTATTTACACACCACTTGTTTTGTTTTAATTTTCTTGTTTGCTTTTGAACGCCATAAAATATGCAACGCTAACTTTGAGGTAATAATCCTTTCGCTTGCAGTTTATTCAATCCGCTGGGGCATTATATACAATTGTACATGTCTCACAGCCGAACGTAAAATACTGTTGTTCATTGAAAATTCAACATCGTGTCGCATATTTGATTTCACACGGTTTGTGTTTTTGTTTCTTTTTTCTTACTTTTCTTTTTGGTTTCGCTTATACGATTTGTGTCGGGAGGCGAAAGCGTCTCAATTGCGCTTTCTAATTCACCCCATACTTTTCGAAACCGGCCACGGTGAATATTCATTAAAAATATGTTCAAAATTTATATATTTACATACACACGAAATCTAAAATCTCACAGTCCTATGTATTTTCTTCCCACACACGCTTTCGTCTAAATCAGCTAACTATGCAGCAGCAAACTCCACAGAAGAAGAAGTGCCAACTGCTTTGACATACACTTTTATTATTGCTCTTTTCCATTTATCCATTTTACTACATCACAGGCACATACTTATAGCCATCCATATACATATAAGCTAACGCCATAACTAGCTACAGCCACCCCCGTAGCGTTGGTGAACACACGAGCGCACTCACGCTACACTACACGAGTTCGGTGGCAGTGGTGTGGGTGAGTTTATCCACCATAAAAGGAAAAATTTAGCAGCAAAAATCTTTTCAAGTGCACGTCAAGTGTTTTTCAGTTTTTCCGCTCGCTCACGACCGTTTCGTTTCGAAATCTCACAGCAACTGTTCGCTTAGTTGGCTCGCAAGTAGCGCTGTGACGGCGTTTCACTGTGGGCAAGCGGAAATTTGTTAAAGCTTTTGTCGTGTAAGCTTTTACTCTCACGAAATTTTGTTTGAAGGAAATTACTTTTCTCTTTCTTTCTCTATTTCACAATCCGCTTTGCAACTTATTCATTTTCAAAATCAGCTTTGGTATGGCTTTCAGCTACTTGCCGGTTAAATGTTTTTGGCTCCTTTTCACTATTTCTTAAACAGTGAAACTAGAAAACGAATAAATTAATAAATTTAAATTTAAAAAACACGTTCTTTTCTTTTTCTCTCTACAAGTCATCGTAAGCTGTCGTGCCGATAACCGTCGTATATGGACCGAAAAGCACTCGCTCTTCGAATGAAATAGGAATTTCAGGCATCGCTTAAGGAATTCGCACCAATTATTCCTTATTTTGAAGCAGAAGCTTAAAACATAGCATAGTAAACTGTGTAGAAGAAACCAATATCTCTCGGTATGGACACTCGAATGCTGAAGATGCATAGCGTTCGTAATGTAAATCATTGTAGAGGTTGTTTTTTTTTTTGTGAATTACGCTCAAAAACGACTTTGCGAGCGGGCCTGAGAACAGTCAGGTACTTTTTTAATTACATGACCCGCGATTAGAGACACATTTTTAGGTACCAATCCTTAAAAATCTTGTGCTGGTATATCAGAAATGTCTTATTCAGCTGCCCATGCTAATTTGGCAAAGGCTAATGGCACTAATCTTGCTCTATGGTGCTTTGGTGTGGCGACCCGCTGCCAGCGAAATCTTATACAGCAAACAATCGGAGCGAACACAGCAGCTCTTTGTGTTCAGTATAACAGGAGCGCTAAAAACTAATCCAACAACTACACTAGAAAGGTTACTCAACTTAACACCAATATGGCATAGCTCATTAAAAAAAGGGATGTTGAACAAAATAGGCTTTATCTGGGAAAGAATGTTTCAAACTATATCCACAGATGGCGCAGGTACCTACAGGAGGAACTTGGAACAACTATAGGGAAGGATTAAAAATGCCTGGACTGAGTAGGTGCCGGAATCTATTGCACCGACTTAGATCTGAAGAAACTTTTAAAGCTTTCGGGGTACAGCAGTACTTTCCATTTAGAGGTCTTCGCGTTTAGCAAAGCTGCTGAGATAACTAGCAACGGGAAGCTACAAAGAAAGTATCTATGTATGTAGTTGACAGCCAAAGGGAAATTAAGGCAATAACCTCACATCGTATTACGTCGCAAAATGTCCTTAGGGACAGGGAGGCAGTAGAAAAGAAGCAGCTGCCTACATACTGGGCTTCAGGTAAAAAGACTTTGCCGGAAACGAGATATTAGTTTATGGGATTGCTAAAAATTCCATCCGTCTGGCTACGAAATACGAAAGTCGCTAAAGGAAGATGGATCAGAGTGTATGGAATATCTTAACAGTATGGTTGTTGGTCCAATAGCAAGTCATAATCTACTAGCATCAAACACGTGTAGAAAGGGCATTCGTAGCAGTGACACATTTAGGCAGTGCAGGGCAGAAAAGGTGAGTGAGCAGCTGAAACAACTTCCTTGTTTCTGTCTGGCCTTATCTGGAACTCGCTCTAGACAGTTGGGAGTTTCAAAGTTCAAGCGCCTTGAGAAAGTGGCAAAATTATATGCGTAGTTTTCTTGAATTAAAACAATAAGCGTTGATGTCAAACACAACGACTCCAGCAGGCTTAGTAAGGCATAAATGCCTGGAGGAGGCATACATGATTGGAGAGCACTTCAATTTGAAAGTGGACTAGGTGTATCAAGCATTTTTGAGCTTTATTCGGTGTTGGAGTCTTTTCTTAAATAATTAAGTCGCGTTCTCGCATTTTTACTATTTAATTTTCTTATTTGGATTACTTTCATTTAACTTTACTTTTTTAGTTTAATTTAATTTAATTTTTTTTTTCAATTTTTAATTTTATATTATTTTACTTTTTTATTTTAATTTTTTTTAAATTTTATTCTAATTTATTTTATTTTATTTTATTTTATTTTATTTTATTTTATTTTATTTTATTTAATTTAATTGAATTTAATTTAATTTAATTTAATTTAAATATTTATTTAAATATTTTATTTTATTTTAATTCAATTTATTTTGTTTTATTGTATTTTATTTTATTTCTGTTATTCACATATATTTTTCACATATTCCCAAAAATAAATAATACATACAGAACAATGACATGAAAAAGCTTTTATTTTATTTTATTTTATTCTTTTTTTTTTTTGATTTATTAATTTATATTATTTGGCTTTGAATTATTTTATTTAATTTATTTTTTCAATTTTAATTTAATTTAATTGATGCTTTATTATTTTACTTTTATTCATTGTATTTTTTATTTGCAAAATATTTGTATTTTTAATACCACAGATTTACTATTCTGCACCTCATTCTTTCCTGCTATATAAGGAAGTCTCTGCTAATAAGTCCCACTGCCATTAAGTCTACACAAACTTCCACATGTCTTCATCATCAGTTGTATTTGCATAGAGCTTTCACAAAAAAGCTGCTCAAGGCTATTTACAACAGTGTATTTTTTCGTACTGAAAACATTTTCCATTGGAAAATTCGCTTATCAGCACACAATCTAATCGTAAACAAACCGTTCACAAGCCCAGATACGCATGTACAATATATGTATGTATGCATATGTAGAATATTACATACATATACACAAATATGTGAGTAAAGCAAGGCTTTAAGGTATTTTCAGTAATAACCATAAAAATAAATTTTCCGGCAATAAACAGTAGCGAACAGTAACACGCTTGTCATTCAGTGCATCACCGTCAATACCGACACAAATTGAGCTGACACTACACACAGACATAGTGATTTCACCAAGGTCCGAAAGAACTACTGAGCAGAGTGAAATATTATTAATGCTTGGTTGCTATTCCTTTGAATTTTTTTTGCCGGTTATTACGTAAGCGCAATTTACTATATACCAGCTTGTATGTACGACCATATATAATGTGTGTAAACAAACACTTTCATTTCACGCCCTCCAGAGGCAGAATGATAACAAAGTCGACTAAAGCTAATCGCATTTGCCATCATTTCCTCAACACACTTCCTTTTTTCATTTCATTTTCACTAACATATTGTGAACAGACATTTTAAAATCAATTCATTTATGTAAATATTTAGATATGTACATATATACATACTTAAGTACAAGTATAAGGATGGAGAAATGAGCTTGAATAATGTAGGAGTCTTTTTTGGAGTATAAAAAGCGAGATTGTTTTTCAAATGTCTATACCTAACTACCGTTAGTATATTCACATTTATGTATGTATGTATTTATGAAAGTGTAGCTTGCAACAGAAAAAAAAGTTCACTGAAAAAAATTACTTATGTACCTTTGAATACCATATATATTAACAAGAAACCGCTGTGTGCTAGAGATGCGATAAGACGGACAAAGGTTCCCCAGTATGGGTAACCACTTATAAGACAGCCGCTACTTGCGTTGAATGACCCGCGAACGGCTTGTGAAACTCACACTCGGAACTTTATTATGCTGTCGAATCTCTGTAATGTGTTTTAAATAGATATTTGTGCTATCCTGGGAGTGGCAAAAGACATTAGAACTCAACTCTTAGGAAAAAACATTGTAGTTTTCTGTAACAGCCAGGCAAAAATAAAAGATTTAAGCTCAACCACGATTACCTCTTAAACCGCTCTGCACTGTTGTAGATCTATTTAGGAGATGAGTGCACATAACGAATCCTATCGTTCGGATTTCTGGGCATAGATGGAAATTGACGATCAGACGATCGAGGTGCCTTTTCAAACTTATAAACTCTTTATTAAAAAATTACTTTACAGACCGCGTCCATGTGAGAGCAGAACTTGGCCTGTTGCAAGTCAAGGCATTAAAAAGAAACTAGAAGATTTATGTCTCCGAAGAAAGTATTTTAAAGCCCGTATATGAATAAGAACTCATCGTTCTCTATATATAAATTCAATAAAAATTTTGTTATGTTAGAACGTTCCTTTGCGATTCTAACAGATTATTTCCTATAACTTGGTTGAAAAAAGGCTAGAAATCGCTTTCAGAAGATATTGCAGGAGTTGATATTTATGATAAATTTCGGACTCTTTGTATTCCCGCTAAAGACAGGATTTGTAGCATGGAGCATGGCAACGTAAACAACAGGTTCAATTTCATTGGGCAATCCAAGTAGATGTAAAGGAGTCATAATATTTAGAAAGCAGTGTGGCATCACATAAAACCGACAATCAAAAAAATCTTTCGATGTCTACACCTCGGCAACCACTTCAACACGATCCTCTTTCATCGCAATTGAAACAAACGAAATAATACGGGTATAAAAACTATAAACACTTAGTTTAATTTGACCCAGCGTAACGTACTTCATATTGGCAGACACTAGGAGATTCCTTTTTTTTCATCTCTGAAATACGCTTGGAGAGATTGATGTTCTCTGCCCAGTGGCGCCCGCAATTAGAAAAATTAATTAATTCTCTATAATTTTGGATATTGGTCGAACCAGGACTTGAATCTCCAGCCACTCGGCTACTGCGATCGAAGATATTTATAGCAGGAAAAATAGAGATGAGTTACGGACTTCACATAAATAGGCAATATAAAACGAGCCTACGAAACGCGATCTCATCAACCAGTTTCTTCCGTCTAACAACCGTAGTGGAAATTGCGACTTAATGGGATTAAGGATAAGTCAAAGAGTTGACTTGGACAGAGATTAAAAACGGAACTATTGTACATGAGTATCTAAGTTCCAATAGTTGAAGTAAAGTGATGTTCTAATGTTTACATAATCTAAACTTGAGAAAAATGCGAGGATTCTAAGCATGTGCTCCATTATCTCATACAAAATATGAGAACATTGCGATGTCCCAAGTCCGGAGCATAGTTATATACCATTTCGCCATAACGTCGACATGACATTACCCTATATAAGAAAAATTGGTATAGCAAGTTTTGGCGGAAAGCGAGTGAAACATATAAGTTTATATTGCAGCTTCGTGTAGTGATTGGGATCATTAATAGCCGAGTTGCACAATACAACTTAGAGGAGGAGCTCGGCCGAAATCGTTTCAGCGGTTACAAAGTGGCAATTATTTAAAACTTTCAGGTTCATGTAAAGGTATATTAACATTGGTCCAAAGTATGTAAGCACCAGAAGGGAAAAATTTATACTGATATGATCACAATGGCGAGTTGAGTTGAGTCATGTCCGGAACCGGTCAGATGAGACCACTGTCACATACCCTTATATATCCTATTTTTCAGATCTGACATAATATTGGGTCATATTTGTTATCGAAAACCTTTGCAATAGGACAACTTCATCAAATAGCTCCTTCCAACTGTATGAAAAATTCTACATAGGAATTATAATTTAATCCTAAAATGAAATATTATATCATTCGGTACAACATATCATATGATATGGCCCCGAAGTGTATTAAAACTTCGGCGTGGCCCAGAACAGCTTTTCTTTATTGGTCTGAATACGGTCGCCCATCGGCAGGGAATACCCACCCCTCGTATTTGTAAGTTCCTACATTTGTTGGAAAAACGTCAAGACACAAAACCACAAATTGGAAGAGGAGCTCGGCCGAAATCGCTTCAGCGGTTACAAAGCACTAATTATTTTAATAATGGGTGCCTAACAACAAGCTCGTCGAGAGTAAAGGAGTAATCTAATGGACCACAAATTTTAGAAGGGAACTACTCCCTGCACATGCATATATACAAATACATACGAGCACATACATATATATATATATATAAGTATAAGAATTACATAAAAAGTGAAGCCACTTTCGCTCTCATTTAAGGCCTGTTGAAGATTGTGCGCGCTCTTTGGAATTAATATTAGAGCGCTATTATGGCATAAAATGGATATTAACATTAAATGTATGTACATATGTATGTATTAATAAACATATAAACGACTACGTATAACCATGCAACTGAATAAGAAATTGAGCGTTACCAAAAGTAACAAAAGTGAAAAAATTGTATGTTTGTTTATTACCACTTCTCCCCACTGGGATAGGCAGACAACGCCACATAAAATTGATAGTGTATATATATATATGTATGTACTATATATAAAGTTATTACATACATTGAATATTCGTAACTACAACATATTCCACTTGTTTACAAGCCATTCGAGTTTTCCGCTATTGCATAGCAGAGCTTGCACTGGAGTTTGCTTACCATCAAACAACAACAACAACACAAATAAAACATTAGAAAAATGATTATTTTGATTTGTGTATATATGTTTACATATATACCTCTATACATATGTCTTTAGTAAATTGTTTACAACTACAATTAGACGATTTCTTTGCACCTAACAACAACCGCGCTTTGATAACAACACCGTTAACGCGTTAGCTTTTAACAATTCGCTAAGGAAGGAATAAACATTAACGGTTATAAAAACAGTTTGCTACACTCATACTAAACTTATGTTGCTTGGGTAACTGCAAGGAGGTGATTTTAGTAGAGTTTCGAGGTAAAGTCAATGGAAGCAAATAATGCGTTTTTCGGCTGTTTGTTTTGGGCGCGTAACGGTAATAAAAATTGTTTATGCTTCTATACATATTTGTATACGAGGTGTGACAATTAAGTAATGAGACTGACTCCATAAATACCGTATATTTCAAAATTATTTTTCAGCCCCGCCATCCCCTTCAAAGTAGTCTCCTCGGGGCAGTATACAACGATTCCAGCGCATTTTCCGCGCTTCGTAACGTTTCTGGAACGCTTCGACTGGGATGTCCGCGAGTACCCTCGTCACGGCCGCCTAGTTGTCCACAACCGCCTCAAAATTGGTTCCTCTGACCACCACCACCTCCAGTTTCGAGCGATGTCTGGGCGCAGCCTGTTGACTCGTTTTCGTAATATTTCAAGTACTTGGCGATAGTACACTTTATTTACGGTTTGCCTCGGTGGAAGAAATTCTTTGTGGACGATTCCAAGCCTCGATCCTCGACGAGTTTCCCGCTCCGCGCCTCGCCTTCCAGGCTTTCACACCTCTCCTTAAACTCTTTATGCCGTCGAAATAACTGCGTACGACTAAGAGCACTCTCACCATGCACTTTTACAATTTTAGCGTATGTTTCCGAAGCTGTTTCGCCCAATGTGGCGCAAATTGTTATCGCGACGCGTTGCTCTTGATTTCGTTTTTCCATTTTCGGGACGAGCACCACGAACACACGTTTACTCAACATGACACAGAAGGCGAATTAAACAAGCTAGAGCGATGGCAAATATAACAATAGAAAGGAGGAGGATGACAGGAGAAGGGGTCAAGGTCGCAGGGTTATCACAAACGCGGCAATATAATCAATCTCATTACTTAATTGTCACACCTCGTATGCCGGCCTCAATAGCAGTCTGGCAACCAGAGTTTGAGTCTTAGTTTGACCGAAATCCTGAATTATAGAAAATTAATTTTTCTAATTGTGGTCACCCCATCGGCAAAGGAATGTCAAGCCCCCCGAGTGTATTTCTAATATGATTTGCTTAGGATTTTGTTCGAAAACATTAAGACAGACCACAATTTGTGGTATGGGCCTGTGGTATGGGATAAAACATTAGAATCAAAAGAGTTTTCTCTCAGTTATCTGGGCACTCTTTATCCAGCGAAGTAAAATTTTCTTTGGAGTTTGGGCACGTCAGGTTGGCGTGGCCCAAGTAACTTACGAAAAATGAATTTGATTGCCTTTTTCCTTGCCAATTATTTTTTTTTGGAAAAACAAACTCATCTTGAGAAAATGAATCAGCAATCGGCCTTGACCCGCGGACGTTAGCTCGCCGTTTGTGGTATTCTCAATAAAAAATAAATATATCGCCATCGTACGGGTCCTGAAAGATGGAGAAGTAGGGCTCAACCAGCTCTTAATACCTGTAAGTGTTCCTAAAAGTTGAGAATAGTATCTCACTGGGGCATTTCTGAAGGGGGTTGTTGTTGGTATCCATAACCATCATAGTGTACAAAAAAATGAGATGAAGGCACAACCTTCTATAAACTGGCTTTCACATATCTGAAGAAATTGGTTGTGTCGTGGCTTCAAGCTATAGTCACCCGATTTGTATGATTTTCGGTGACAATTTTTATTTTTAGATATGAATTTACAATACTAATTTCATAATTTCAATAATCTCACATTTTACTATATTGCGCCGTTACCTGAGCGAAACCTCATATGTCCTCTCTACATAGTACAATTGATAGCACTGATTGCGGGACTAATTATCAATATAAATAACACAGCTTTTTTTTTAATAGGTTCATTAACATTTCGTTCTTGGGACATGTAAAGAAACACTATATCAACGGAATCAGGAAAATCTCGCTATTCGGAATACCGCGCTGGGATCAAATTCCTTGTAAAAAAAGAAAGTGCGCCGAATGCCATCGGTTCTTCAGCACTCTTCTCCTTTATATACGATGGTAAGATATGAACTCAGTTGTTACAACAAGGAAGATTTGTGACAAACTAAAACGTTCAGAAAGTCCAAAAATTAGTACTGCCTGATCGAAGAAATAAATTGTGGCAGATAGCAGAAGGATTACAAAAAGCAGAGAACGCACTAAAGAGCTTTTGGATGAAAATTTGAATATGAAAAAAATTAGTGCGCTAATGCTCACGCCGCTTGACAAGCAGCGACGATTGTAGAGTTGCATATATTTTTTGGAGTTGCGGCAAGATGATTTGGATGAAATCTTGAAACATTTAATGAAACTTTGATTCGTCAGTATGATCCTGAGTCTAAACAGGAAATGTTATGGCTACCATTTTCTGGGATATATAATTGATGTTTTGTAACAGCTAAAGTGATTTTCCGCTGAGCTCCTTCTCCAATTTGTGGTTTTGCGCCTTGACATTTTCCAACAAATGGAGGGACCTGGAGTTTATACTAAGCCGCCTTCGAACGGCTGGTGTTTTTTTACGAGGAGTATTTATTTCATGTCCGAAATACACTCGGACGGGTGGAAATTCCTGCCGTAATTAGAAAATTGAACTTACTTTTGTTTTATTTAAATTAATTTTTCATAACTTTTGGATGTTGGTGGCACCGGGATATGAACCCGAGCCTTCCGAATGTCAGTACACAAGGCTAACCACTCGTCTACAGCGGTTGGGATGGTGGGGGAATATTATTAGCGCACGGAATGCTGTTTCTTCAAGACAACGCACCCGTATTCCCCGGACCTGGCTTCTAGTGAGTTTTTCTTCTTTACAAATCTAATAAAGTATTTACGAGAGGAAGATTATCAGGCTACAGTGAGGTGAAAGCGGCATTTTCAAGAGAAATCTAAAGAATATTACTTATTTCCATTGTAGTCATGATACGTGTATTTCGCTTGAGGGAGACTATATTGAAGAATAAAAAAATAAAAGTATAAATTTGTTTCATTAAGTCTTCAGTCCGCGAACTTATCAGCCGCCCCTCGTATGTAGGTTTTGATTAATATGATTTACACTTGGGCTGCAAAGTCCTGAGCCCAACACATAGATGGCGCTAGTTTTATTACAACCACCGCTTTTTCAGATGGTTCTAACCTCAAAGAACTCTGTTTCCTGCTATTGCAGTCATAAGTTGGTGAGTTATTTCGCAAGAGTGATACTATTTTCAAATTTTTAAAAACAATTTCGTGTTTGAATTTTACACTGCTTCTTGAAAGGAATAGTCTATTAAAAACTCCGCTTGATCAAGCCTCGGGAAGGAGAGAGATACTCTCAACATTATATTGGAGCGCCTGAAAGCCGACACTACATGAATTCAACCACGAACTGCTCCAGAATCCAGTGTTGAGTTTTAAAACAGATAACATTTCACTAAATTTAATTTAAATGTTTTCTTTTAATCCCTTTTATATAAATTTACCTTTAGTTGGCGAATTTTTTAATTATAAATTTTACTTTAAGAGAAAGAAGCAAATACAAATAATGTTTTACACCTTGTTTCATTTCCTAATAAGTGCCGTTTTTTCAATGAAAAAATTTTTCATATACCCGTTAGTCAAAAAAAAAAAATCAGTTTGAATTTTTCCTTAGCCAACAAAAATAGGCTCGGTAAAAAAATTTATAAAAATTAACATTTCAGTTAATTTCAAAAGCTTTTAGTCCACACGAAAATAAAGCTCAGTTTGGTTTGTTTAATCCGGTCAGAGAAGAAACTATGATTGATATACTCTCACTATCGCGGCGACCGAAATTGGATATGGTAGAAGTGCCGAATCTAACATTCAAATCGGGTCTGCCAATTAACAGTTTACCAGGCTGGGAGCTAATACCGTTAAATTCGAAATTACCTATGCTCAAGTGTCCCGGGAATCAGGTTATATTTTCGAAAAATAAAATTGGACAATCGGTAATATGAGATTACTCTGTGTACATATGTATACCTCCTCAGAACCAATGATTCCGAATAATTCCTTTTCTCACGCAGTTTAAACATTTGAAACAAGAATTTGATCCATCCGTACGGGAGAGCCTACCAGAGTACAATCCTTTACACGATTCAAATCTGAAAACTTTTTATGCTAACGAACGCAATCTGAAAGTAAGCACACCGAGCATGATTACCGGCTTTTCAACTCTATCACTTTTTTTGTCTTTTCCAAAAGCGTTTACGCGAAAATGGTGAAATAACCCAAAATAATGATGTGATATGCAATTTAAAGGATTTCAACGAATATCGTCAGCAATTGCATAAAACAAGACTTTATTACGTGTTGCAGGAACTGAATCGACAAGAAAATGAGCAACACGATCGTATGCTAATCACCAATGCCGAGGCAATCACTGCACGAGATCATCACAATTTGGCTGCACGCCAAAATAGTTTCACCGAAATACAGGGACGCAAGCGTAAGCTAGAGAATATGAGAGCATCTCGCTTTCAGAAAATGTGGCAACGTACACAGGACAAGATCGCACGAAAAGCCGCCGCCGACGAAATGGGCAAAGCCTATCATGAGTATCGAAAGCTATTGAATCAGATGAAAATGCAACGACACTTGGAAGCGGCTGCTGATTTGCAACGCAAGCAATTGATCAAATTGAAGAAAGTCTTCCAATTCAAACAGGATCGTTTGCAAAAGAACCTACGCTTACTCCAAGATGAGCGTCAAAGGCAAAGTGAGGTTATACAAACTCACTTTTGGGAGAAGCGTCTCAAGGAGCGCATAGCATATCAGGATAAAATGAAGGGCCTGCTAGAGAGGGTGGCCGAGCAAAGAAAGCAATTTATTGAGGTTAGTAGCAAACCAGGAAGTAAGTGAAAATCTATTAGGAAATGTTGCGGGAATGACAGTCCTTGGCCTGGTCAAAATCTGGGTGGTTCTAACTGTCGCGGGAATTATTATATTTTAGTAGTACCTCGCGACAGGCGTGACTTACCCGCAGCGTTATTGCGTGCTACCATACCGATGGTCCTGTATTCGATCCCTGGCTGGAACAGCAACCAAAATTATAGAAAAATAATTTTAAAAATAACTTTTCAATTTGCGGTCGTTCCTGTTGTTTGTTGTTGTTATTGTTGATTTTGTTTATTTTGTTGTTGTAGTAGCGGTTTAACCCTACTTAGAGTCAGGCAAACTTATTCTAAGCCATGGAGGACTTTTCATGAGATGTCCAGGAAACGGACTGTATCGACGGGTGCGGACGAGGAGAAAAGGGACGTAAAATTACTAAAATTACGTGGGACTCTCGAGTCAGCTCGAGTTCTTCGTCTCCAATGAAAGAGAGTTCAAGTAGGTGCTAACATACTCTCGATGAACGGTTTTAAATGCCTGACGTTAAGCCGTCCGGTGCAGCGGTATTTGGTGCTGAATGCAGTCCTTGCCGTCAAGTACTCCCTTCCTGTCCTTTAGGGGTGCTCGCTATGCTTGCACTGTATAGAACTACGGTCCCTAACTCGCAGCATAGATGTGCAAGTGACGTTCTGTCGACATCAGAAGATTTCCTGTCACGGTCTTGAGGGCGGCGTTTCGGCAGGCTTGTAGCTTCTTCATCTGCGTCTCGTAGGTACGGCTGGTAGTAAGGGAGTCATGTTGCGGAGAGTTCCGCGAGACCGTAGAGTTCTAAGGATGTAGAGTGGGTAAGGGTGCAAAACTGCATTGTCGTGAAAGCTGAGCGGTGGCTGAAAGGGAACATGTATCTTGAGGATCGCTTTCGTTGTATATTAGACCTGAGGAGTATGGTGGATCAGGATTGGATTCGACGCCAGTCCTGATAAGACAGATTTGGAGAACCGAGCTGGGTGGTGTTGCAACGTCAATGGCTAAGAAATATGTTACCTGTGACCTCAACGAGATTTGGTCGCCGAAAGGGTGACAGCGCATGACCAAACAAAATCCCGTGCATGAAGGTATATCAACCTGACATTAAATAAATAAAATTTCCTAAAATTCTATCAGCCGTTTCGAAACGGCTTAGAGTAAACATTAGATTCCTCTAGAATTTGTGAAGAAAAAAACATTATATCCAACACCGCAAATTGAAGGAGGAGCTCGGGCGAAAATCTTTTCAGCGGTTGAGGAGGGTCAGCTAGAGGCCAGAAGACCCTAGTATTGTTGTCGGAAGCTGTTGATTTATTTGGTTGAATCTGAGGCGCCTCAGCTCCTTCGGTGATTTAGGAGTATAGGCATGCTCTACCCGTATGAGTAGAACTAAGAGATATTGTCAGGATAAGAAGAGTGGAAAAGGCCTCATGGATGACACTGTTGTTGTTGTGAGATGATCCTTAATTTTATTTTATTAATGAACTTTCAAATATAATTATTGTAGCTGCTACTCGTCATTAAATTCATATTTTTTTTAATTATTTACTACCTTGCTTGCAATAAGAATCACCGTCAAAAGTATGATGAAAAATGGCTACGCATCCAGGAGGAAATTAAAGCTCGTGCGCGAAAAAAAAAACTCCACAGCAAATTGCATCTACATCGTAGAAGGAAGCCTAAACCAATTACACCGCCCAAGACACCATTAGACAATAGTATGGCATACTGTGATAGACCCAATGAAAGTGTTGACAAGCTTTTAGATTATCAGCTGTGCGAGGCATTAAATGCCGCCATAGATTTGGAAAATCAACCAGCCATGCCATTCGACTCAGACGATCCAATATACAAGGCGGCTAAATTCATAATAACACATATCATTAAGAAGTTCGACAAAGATCTAAGTAAGGATCCTAAAATATGTAAGAATGTGCGGGAACGTGTAGACCAGTTCTTTGACGAGGCGAAACGTTTTGTACTATTTGTAAGTATATACATATGTACACGTACATATCCATATTGGTAACTCAATTCATAATTTGCGTGCTGTTCCTTTATTACCGTGCGATTTCACAGAGATCATCGCAAATTATTGCCTCAATACGTGAGCAAGTACAAGATTACAATACTATGACGGACAGTCGGCGTCCTACATTAGTATCGTTTAGTCGCTTGCCATTAACTATAGGCGAATCTAGTTATGCAATTCATCCAATGGTGGACATCAAACCGGTGGATGTACGAACGCCAACACCAGTGGTAAGAAGTATTTAAAAAGTTAGGTCCAACAAGCACATTTTTATCATCTCTCTACAAAATTTTAGGGTTCACTTGCCTCCATCAAAGTCAACTCGGATGAGAGTTTATTTAGCAATATGCCAAATTTGTGTCGCAACGAGCTGATTTTCATCGAGCACTACATTATCAAATTTAAGCGTGATTTAATTGTTGGTGTTGGTAAACGTGTATTCTCTGCCATCGACTATCATTTCTCTAAGAAAATTATGGATGTACGTCCAGAACTACTAAGTAAGTGCCTTATTGGCAGATTTTGGAGAAAAAAATGTAAAAAAAATGTATATTTTTTTTTTTACAAAGGTTTGAATCGGAATTTCCTGACCTGTGAAATGTCTAAAGCTATACTTAGTTATGCAACAAATAGATTAAATTATGAGGCTAGCATTAAGTTGTGTATCAGCGCATTGGCCAGTGATGTAATCTGGTCACTACAAAAGCATTTGTTAAAGCCAGAACGCGATCCACGTGGAATTGTTCAACCGAAGCGTTGCAATGAAACTCCCTCACCCCACATGCGTCTCTGTTTATACTGTCACAAGTAAAACGCTGAGAGAGGGGTCCATAAGCTTCTATGCCTATTTGATTGGATATGCCGTCAATTATTTTATAGACTTTTACACTTGCATGTAACACTATATTGCGAAATATATAAAAAAAAATACGTTTTCCAACGGTTATTAAAGTGTTTTTATGATAAATGCCAATTGGACACTTGATATAAACGACGTTTAAATCCCACCATTACCAAAGGATGATAATCTGCGCCTGAATTTCGATTTATTAAATATAAAATATCGTTTGTTATTCACTTCAGCGGTTACAAAAGCGCTAATTGTAGATATAGTAATGTTTACTCTTGAGCATATTTTATTTTACTACACCATTGAAGCTGATAAACAATTTGGGAAGAACCCGTTCCCTGAACCTGATCATATTCTGGGGTGGCCCAATTTTTGCCAATTTCTTAATTTTTTATATATAAAATTCTCGAATACATACAAGATTATTATAAAAAAATTATAAGCCGTTCACTCACCAGATAATTTCAATTTTTATCACAACAAAACAATTTATCAAATAAACTACAGCTGTAAACAAAAGTTTAAGGCAAGAACATGCTGATTTATTTGACATTTTCTTTTGTTGTTTTCTTCGTTACGAGGGGTTTAAAATGCAAAAAGCGTGACAAAAAAAAAAGAGCTGCCATTTCAGGAAAATTTCGTTTACTTATTTCACACGAGAGCAATTCTTCGGTCACGGTATATAAATTGACGAAACTTATTACATAGAATCGAATTTAGATTATGTGTTAGAATATTCTTTATAATAAGCTACTAATCTGACGTCAATCAGCTATTGATATTTTATATAAAATTACTAAAAACTGCGAATGTAAAAATGTCTATATGTTCTTTATAGAAGCGTAAGCCATGAATTTTATCATGTGATGATCTGTGGAAAAGTTGTTGACGAAGGTTTCCCAGATGGTGGACGAACGGTGCCAACGTCATTCCAATGAATTTCAAATGTCAGGTTTGATCAATCTAAGTCGCCGAGGTCATCTAATAGGAGGTCCAGGAAACAAGCTGTTTCGACGGGGTTGGACCAAAGGGAGAGGGGGATTAGATGAGTTGGTTTGAGAGGGAATGTGAATAGGTGGTTAGTGTCGTGCGGAGACTCTCCACTTGCAGGGTGCTTATTTTTATATTTGGGAACGGTTTTCGAATAGTTTTGTATATTGCATTATGAATTCAATTAATTTAGATAAATATAGGGATAAGCATTTCGTGATTTCAAAAGCACAGCGTTGTATTTTGACATATGCCAAACTTAACTTAACCAAACAAGTTTTGTTTCCGTTCAAAGTTAGGAATTTATGAAATTCGGATCGCTTAGCGGTCGCATCTACATGTTAAAACATAAAAACAAAAATGGTGATTCAAATGTGAGCGAAATAATATGTATGCTCTCTTCAACATTATAACGACAAAACTATTTTATTTTTAAATTTCTATTTCCCGTGTGCTACAACAGAAAATTTAAAGATAAAAAAATTGCATATCAACAAGACGAGAATTAAGGAACTTGAAGTGGCCAAAGATCATGGCACTTTGCCTGAAACACGATTGGACCGATGTGGTAAAATGCCAATTGTCACATCTTCTTCAAAATTTCTTTACGAGAAACGAAAAAACCATTTTAAATTTTATATTTTAAAAATGAGTAGAAAACATTGAAAAATGAAAAAAATTAATGCCTTTTTAATTTTAAAGTTGTTTTTTTACTTAATACCAATCTATTATTGATGAATCCACTTTGATATTCAAGTAATTTTTAAACGCTCTCCAGTTTTGGATTCCTTTTTTATTTTATTTTATTGATTTATTTATATCATTTTGAATTTACAAAAAGTTTCTCTCAAATATTTGTGGGTGTATGATAGTTTTCTATTCTTTCTTATTCAGTTTGCGAGATATATTTAATAGCTTTGCTATTCTCTGCCGCTGATGTACGTACGTGTAGTTTTTTAAAATACATTTACTTCAAAATAGCTTGTGAAAGTCCAGTAAATAAATATCCTTTCTGCTTCAGTTGATTCTTTAATTACTCTTTTTAATCCTTTTATGGCTTAAAAATTTGATTTTTAATTTACTTCTGTATTACATTTTTGTAATACTTTCATATTTACTATTTAATATGGTACACACATATGTATTTATATATAAATGACGAGTTTTATAACAACAAATACATACATATTTCAATATTTTTATGTTAGTTAAGTTTGTTCAGAATTCATGTTCTTACTTTTTTTATTAACTAAATAAAGTCAATGCCACTGTGTACGTGTATGCATTGTGATAAAACTTGCCACTAGTAGCGATTTAGCTATTTGGTACATGAGAATATTGAAGACCTGAGTAACAAAATTTCAAACGATTTTCTACCTCCTAGAATATATAATAGATACATATTCCAAACATTTCATTCTTTTATATTACTAACAAAGTGTGACAATAGTTGGAAACCCGTAAAGTGCTACCTATAGGCTGATATTTGGTGCAAGTGTGTATTGATTCTAATTAAAATGTTTATATTGAAGAACAATTTTCGCAAAGTAAGATTTGTCGGGAATGAATACAGAAAAAGTTTTGTATAAACATTCTTCAAATGTAAAGCAAATCTTTGCCAGTCTTTCATTCAATGAGAAGAAAACTCAGGTTTCCTTCCAGTTCTTTAATTTACCTTATTCTCATTTTGGAAGTGGGATCGAAATATCGCTTCTGAAATATATTTACTAACATTTAAGTTTTTTGAATTTTAAATGCAAATATCTCACGGTCAATCGCAAAAAAGGTTTAAATTTTTTATATATAAATATGCTTGCGGTTGGTTTTGATTTTGCAGCAGACTTCAGTAATCGCTAAAAACTATAATATCGGTTCAAAATAAGATTCTTGTTAGATTGTATCTGCAAATATTCTTATGAACTAAATGAGAAACTCATAATATACACACATATATCTATAATTAATAATATTAACTACATAAAATAAATATTACTATGTGACAAGTAGACTTATATATCTATATATTTAATACCACTTAAAATTTATTATCTTATCAGAGACTATTTGCTAATTGCACAGAGGTTAAATAAAGATACATATAATATATATATACGGTCATAATAAAAATAATACATAAAGCAGAAGTATTTAATCAAGATAAAATAACAAAAGCATAGCTGATAAAAATAATAATATTTATGTAAATCAACAATTTGAAATCGAAAAGGATTGCAGCATACGTTGGCATACCTCGTACTTTGTAGTCATAAAATTCCCTTAATTATTTCATTTAGACCTCATAGCTCATTAAAAGTGGTATATCGTTATATCGCGGTGATGAATTAAAACTTGTACATGGCAAAAGCCAACAAGCTGGATGGCCACGTCCAAAGACCTCGGCGAATAAGCGAAATTCACGCCGAGAAGAACGTTGTAAACCCTTGCCCTTCAATTGAACCGCTTCTACAGCCGTTTCATCATGTAATATAGCATGTATTTGGTCAACCATTATAGCCAAAACGAAGAGGCCAAAAAGCGCCGATTCTAATAGCAGAATAACGCTGTGTAACCTGAAAATGCGCAGATTAAATACAGTTTCGAATTCTTTAATAGTTTCCCTAATCCTTACATTCTCGTCTGCGTCTCCAGCGTAGTTAAATTGCAGCCATCGCAAGGATATACAAAACTATAGCCAACCATTCCAACAGAATAGAGTGATAGAGTGCCAACGTAGAAAAGAAATTGTAGGAAAAATTTCTGATTGCGTTCACCAACACAGTTATTTATCCATGGACAATGATGATCCATGCGTCGTATGCAGCGTTTACATATGCGACAGTGATGTGCTCGTGGCGGACGATATGTTTCACAGCGTGTGCAAACAGTCCTAAAAAGGTGAATAAACAATTTAAAGTGCATAACAATTTGTTTGTAATTACCATTCGCTACCGCCATCATTATTATTCTTCCCGGTTGTGTGTAAGTCTGAAAAATCTAAACGATTTGCAGGCAACGGTATACGCCCGGGGTCTGAAAGCACAGCCTTCAAGTGCGACATGCACAGCAGAAAAACTATTGTATTGAATAATACTACATGTATTGGTGCCCAAATACTGTAGAAAAATATTAGGATTTTTATGTGTATAAAAAATTTAAGATTTTTTAGCTAAACGTACCTCGCTTCCATAGTTTGCAAAATAATCCAACGTAGGACAACATAGTCTGCATAAAAGACTGCGCCGTAGGTGATGACTAGGCATGCAATGCCGCAAGGATCGCGTATAAAAGTCATTATTGCCTTTGCCACCACCCAGCGATTACTCGGCTATAGTTACACTAATTTAATTTGAATTTTATGCTTTTGTCGACTCTGATTAAAGACTGAGTGCCTTCCTTTTAAGTACTTTTATGAACGTAAAAACTATTATATTCCTTTATGGAGTGGCTACATAGCTTGTTTGCTGACTTTTTCTACATTATAAGTTTGTACTTTTGCAATAATACACGGTTTTCTAAATTTTACGCCGAATATTTGTTGAACTCTACCAATATTCCTCTTTGTGCAAAAGTTTTTCTATTATTTGTTTTAATCTGTCATTTACTTTATAACTACGAATAAGTTGGCAACGCGGAAATGCTGCCAGATGAAACCCTGAATGACATACCCAAAAACGAAGTAAGATAGACAAAGAACGTATATGAATAAAATTCGGCATTGCATTACCGTAAATTTTGTTTTTAAAAAGAGCATATAAGGAAAATAATTTATATGAAAAATTTTTCCGAATTGATTGAGAGAATTTATTTAGACCTTTTCTACATCATCAACGAAAAAAAAACGAGTGATCGACTTTACTGCATACAGAAATTCCTATGCGTTCTTTGTTATAAATCTTGTCTAAGAACGTATATTCAAATACATTTTTTGCCCCGTTTCAATCATTACCGACATCCGGCACCTCCTTGATTTGACAGTAAAGTGCAATTCACTGGAAGTAGAGGAAAAGGAATGACATTCCCGTCAATACGAATTTTCGTTAGTCATTTTTTATAAAAAATTTCTTCGGCTTAGGAAGAAAACTACGTCTATTGGCCGTAAAACAACCAACTAAATAATAAATAAATTAAGTGTAATGGAAGTAAAAGAAAAGGTCAATTGAATTTATTTTTTAAACAACGCAATTAAAGGTAAACATATGTATACATATATCTATGCCTAAAAGTGCAACAAAGGTTGAAGAGTGAACAATAAAAATACAAGAACGGACAAAAAGAAAACAACTACAAAGTTATAGTGAAAATCGATTGAAAAATATTACATTATATCAAAAGAGCAATATTGTTAAAAAGTAGTGGAGAAAATTGTTAATTATTGCTTGAATTTTATTCCAAACGCAATAAGTGTGTGTGTAAAATGTGGCCTTTTGGGCAATCGACACCGTTTGATGCGGAAATTGGTGAGTAAATTTTTTACTACACTATGTGGCAGAATAAAAGTTGATGTAGTTATCAAGACATTGTAGGCAAAGCTTGCATCACAAAGAAAAATTATATTTGATAAAACATTACCTGCTGTAAATATGTATTCTAAACATTGAGGGCGTCTTTTCTTTGTTTCCTAAGGGCAAACAATTTTTGGTGTTTGACGTGCAGGTAGACTACAAAGATGCGCAGGTGCATCATCATATTCAATGCTAATGTGAACAATAACTGCCACCAACAAAGTTCAATACACTTAGCACGAGAAATTAATTTAAGTTTATTTCCACTTGTTTAACTGATGATTGCTTTGGCTTGCGAGTGATAAATATCTTTCATTTTTTCATTTACTTGGGTAGTTCCTTAGCAGTCATCAGTACGTTTTTTGATTTCCATTGGCTTTTTAATTCAATCATGTCGTATAAGTTACGCCTTACCAACAAAAAATTGAGCTTATGAAAACCGCAAATTTTCAAGAAAAGAAGAAAATAATAAATAAGAACTTACGAAAGCAAATCGCGGAACAAAGATCAACCGACTAAAGTACATATGCATATACATGAGTAATTAGTTAATAACTCCGAATTCTCTTTTTAAGTAATAGCCTCTAGTAACACATATGAAATAAAATTATTTACGTTTAATTTGCCATGAACTTCAATTGCCAGAATTTGTTTAGCTTTATCGATTTTAAAATATAATCGTCAACAATAAAAATGAGTCATATGGCGCTAAATATAATATTTTAAACACATGAGTACATATATAGACGGTCTCATTAAAAATAATATATAAGATTACAAACATATTTATATACATAAGTATATACTATTTTCACTCATTTACTCTTCTCCTCTTAGTCTTCATGCATTCATGTGTATTTTAAAAAAGCAATGCACGCGGTAACTTTAATAAAATATTACATACGGATTGTAAATGTGCCTTATCAGGATGTGGCTTACTATTCTTATCACCTCTTTCTGTTTATTTTGTCTTCATAGAGATGCCTCTACTCAAGTTTATAAACTACTATCAGCATTACATGATCTTACAATATTTACTATAATTACTTATTTATTTATTTGCGTTTCCATTTTTTTTTAGAAAAATCTACAAGCGAAACTAATACAAATGAAAATTGGTCACTCATATTGGATGTCTGCGATAAGGTGTCATCGAATCCACGCAGCGCTAAAGACTGCTTGAAGGCAATTATGAAACGTATGGGGCATGCCGATCCACATGTTGTAATGCAAGCTCTAACGTTATTAGACGCTTGCGTGAATAATTGCGGTAAACCTTTTCATTTGGAAATTGCGTCGCGCGAATTCGAAAATGAGTTCAGGCGTTTGCTAGGCAAAGCACAACCGAAAATATCTCTAGTGAGTAAACTTAAACGTCAATAATTGACTACATATTGCATTAATGTGCCACTAAATTTTATTGTTTAGAAAATGCGTCAACTTCTTAAAAACTGGGCTCAGAGCGATTTCAAGAGTGATCCTGAGTTGAATCTAATACCATCTCTTTACTTCAAATTACAACATGATGGTTATGATTTCAGCAATTTGAATGAAAAACCGCCAAAGTCTGCAGCAAAAATGACTGCAGCTCTGAAAGACCCAAACGTAGTTAGCAGTCAGCAAGAGGAAGATGATATTGCCAAAGCGATAGAGTTATCGTTGAAGGAGACGAAAAATAGTCCAAAGAACCAGAGAACCGGTAGTGCCGGAGTCGGTGTCTCTGGCGGAAGCTCAAGCGTTTCTGCTGCCTATGTAAGTATAACAATAAAAACAATGATAAATAAAATAACAAAATAGAAAAAAATAAAAAATAATAGTAAAAAAATAACAATAAAAAGGAAGTAATCATAATAATGAAAAATAATAACGAAATATATTAACAAAAAAATAATAACAAAAAATAACAATAAAAAGTAAAAAAATAATAACAAAATATAATTAAAAATAATAACAAAAAAAGAAGTAAAAAAATAAAACAATGATAAAAAAAATTGTACAAAATGATGAAACAATAAAACATAAAAATTATAACAAAATTTAAAATAAATTAAAAATAAAAAGAAAATTAAAAATAAAAAGAAAATTAAAAATAAAATCAAAAACAAAATTAAAAATAAAATTAACAATATAATAAATCAAAACATTAAAATAAAATTAAAATAAAAAAAAGAAATAGAAAGCAATAAGAAATAGAAAAAATAAGAGAAAAAAGAGGAAAATTAATAGAAAAATTAATATAAAAAAATAATGTAAAAAAATAATATAAACAAATAATATAAAAAAATATAAAAAATAGTATAAAAAATAGTATAAAAAATAATATAAAAAATAATATAAAAAATAATATAAAAAATAATATAAAAAATAATATAAAAAATGATATAAAAAATAATATAAAAAATGATATAAAAAAATAATATAAGAAAAATAAATAAAAAAATAAATTAAAAAAATAAAATAAAAAAATAATATAAAAAATAATAAGAAAATAATAAGAAAATAATAAAAAAATAATAAAAAAATAATAAAAAAATAAAAAAAAATAATAAAAAAAATGAAAATAAAAATAAATGAAATGAAAACAAAAAATAATTCAAATAATAATAAACAAATAAAGCGGAAAAATAATAAAATCTAAACTGAAAACATAACAAAATATAAAGTGAAAAAATAAGAAAATGTAAAGTGAAAAAATAATAATGACAGAAATATAATAATTAAAAAATAACGAAAGAAATAATAAAAATATAACAAAAAAAGTATACAATGCTAATAAAACAATAATAAGATAATAATAAAAAATAATAAAAAATAATAAAATATAATAAAATTAAAAAATAATAAAAATAAAAAAATAATAAAATTAAAAAATAATAAAAATAAAAAAATAATAAAATTAAAAATTATTGAAAATAAAAAAATAATAAAAAAGTAATAAAAAAATAATAAAAAAATAATAAAAAATAATAAAAAAATAATAAAAATATAATAAAAAAATAATAATAAAATAATAATAAAATAATAATAAAATAATAAAAAAAATAATAAAAAAATAATAAAAAAATAATAAAAAAATAATAAAAAAATAATAAAAAAATAATAAAAAAGTAATAAAAAAATAATAAAAAGTAATAAAAAAATAATAAAACATAATAAAAAATAATTAAAAAATAATAAAAAAATAATTAAAAAATAATAAAAAAATAATAAAAAAATAATAAAAAAATAATAAAAAAATAATAAAAAAATAATAAAAAAATAAAAAAAATAATAAAAATTAAAAAAAAATATTAAAAAAATAATAAAAAATAATATAAAAGACTTAAAAAATATAATAAAAAATTAATAAGAAAATAATAAACAAATTATAAAGTGAAAAATTAATTAAAAATATAAGATAAAAAAGTTAAATGTAAATAAAAAAAATAATAATAATAAAAATGCACTATAAAAAGAAATGAACAAATATAAAAATACATAATAAACACCGAATAAAACAATATTGAAGAGTAGATTTGCGACGTATCTAACATTATAATTACTATTTTCTTCCAGCCTTCATTATATCCATCATTTTCTGGTTCTGGCTCAATGGCGAGCATTACTTCGACAGGTGGTAATTCGAATAATTCCACCAATTCACAGCCTGAACCACGTAAAGTGCGTGCTTTGTATGATTTTGAAGCCGCCGAGGAGAATGAGTTGACTTTTTTCTCTGGAGAAAATATACATGTACTCGATGATTCCGATCCGAATTGGTGGAAAGGCTATAATCAACGTGGCGAGGGTCTCTTTCCATCGAATTTCGTAACTGCTGATTTGTCTGTCGACCCAGAACGTTTGGATATAAATCAGCAGAATAAAATTAAAAAGAGTGTACAATTTGAGGATGATGCCAAAGAATTGCAATTAAAGACTGAAGCTGCTGCAGCGGCAGTTGCCGAACAACGAATAGAAATCGATGAAGAGAAAATTGATCGCCTACTACATCTGCTGCACGAAGCAAATCCCGAAGATCCCTCACAGGATAGTGAGGAAATGTTACGTTTGGAACAGGAAGTACATCAGATGGGTCCACTAATTGATGCCGAACTTGAACGTGTCGATCGCAAACATGCACAACTAACACAGCTCTCAAGCGATTTAGTAGATGCGATCAATCTTTATCATTCTCTGATGCGTGATGATCGTTTGGGCTTACCAAGTGGTCCCGTAGCAGGCGCTTATATGGGTGGCATACCCGGTATGTCAGGTGCAATGCCTGGTTTAGGTTATCAGGGTGTACCGAATCCACAAATGTTATATGGTGCAGCTGGTTATCCAGGCAATGCCAGTTTTCCAACACATATGCAACAACAACATATGCCTCCACATAGCTATGGCATGCAATCGTTGCCATATACGAACTCAATGCAGTTGCCTGGTAATGTCGCGCCAGTGACCTCGCAAAATTCGTTAAATCAAAATGTGACTTCAACAGCAGCAGCAGCAACTATACCAGGCGGTGGTTACGCTATACCACAACAATACCAAAATGGACACATTAATACAGCGCAGTTGAACGGTAATAGTTCAACGACTGTCGGAATCAATGGTACAATTTTATTAAAAGAAATCCGTTTATAAAATCTGTTGCTTAAAAAACAATTGTGTTTCTGTTAATTTAGCACTGCCATCGTCTATGAACTCCTTACCCTACGGTGGTGTACAGTTGCCAGCAACCTCAGCGCCGCCATCGTCTGAACAACAGCAACCACAGCAAATGCCCCAATTGGGTAATATGCAGTCAATGCAATCGATGCAATCCATGCCACAGTATCCGAATGGACATTTATCTGGTGTACCAAATCAAATGAATGATGGCATAAATGGTAATTATCATGATTATGCAAATAAAATAAAACAAATTTTACATTTATTTCGTCTTTTACAGCCTTGCCACCCGATCAGCTGCATCAACAACAGCAACTTCCACACCACCTTCAGCATCAGCATCCACAACACTATGGCAATTTACCAAATGCATCGTCACAGCCAACACAACCACCACAGCATGCGTTTATGACATCACCACCACCACAACCACCAACTGCTGGCGGCATGCCGCCCCCAGGCATGTTACCCCCCAGCCATGTTATGCATAATCCAACAAATGCCGGCGGTGAACAGTACAGTCAATTGCAACAACAAATGGCTGCCATGTCTCTAGCAGGTGGCGCTAATCAACCGGTAACACAGAATTTCCTTGTACAAAATGATCCAAAACATAACATTCCGATTTACCAGCAGCAACGGTAAGACGTTGGTTTGCTCGGTTGTTTGACATCGACAATACGTCGTCATAAAATTTTCCGCTCGTCCTCTTTTTAATTATAAAAAATATACATATATATCGTCTTTAACATCAAGTCGAAGCATCTTGGCAGATGTCACTGTCGTACTTTCTGGAACAAAACAAACAAAATGAGTTTTGCTTTATTTGAACGTAATAGCTTTATAAAGAAGAGGATTTGCTATGTAATAATTATTGCGCCATTTGGACGGCCACTATTCGTAAAAATGAAATATTTTGATATTGTTATTTCTTTTCTCTTTGTTTTTATTTTCGTATTATTCTCAGTCGCAGTAAACGAATGAATGTATCGTAATTTAATTGCTAAACTATTAATGTTAAGTTGTTTTAATTAATAGACGAACGAAGAACGTATTGTTTCCTAACTTGGTTACTTGTGCTGGTGAGCGAGCGAGCGTTGAGAAGCAAAACAGTTATACTAGAAGATTTACATATGAATTCTATATATACTCCGAATCATTTCAATGAGGAATGTTAGAATGCTAGAGAGATGGGTATTAAATGTTTGGAAAGAGAAGATACTTTTAGCATGACTTATGTTTACACCACATTTGGAAAATAATCCATAATATAATTCTTCAAAATAATATATAAAAGAATATTTGTATGAGAAACCAATATTATTACATACTAGAAAAGCAAATTATAACAGTACTATTACTACGTATAAACGTTTTACGATAACATTAATGGAAAATTAAATACAGAATTATTAAAAAGATAGATGCACAATGTTGTTTTAAGCTTAAACTAAGATACCAATAGGCTTGTACGTTTCCTTTTATGGCAGTGTAAAATGACAAAAACTAAATGCATTAACTCCGAAAATTCTAGCGCAATTTAGGCCAGGTTCCTCCGAAAATTTTTTTTTTTTTTCAAACAATTCTTTTTATTGAAAAAATATAAATCATAGTTTTGGTAGACAAGTAGACGTATAAACATATTAATTGAAATTTTATTTTTATTTTTTTTTTTAAATGGCTTCTTTTAAAATTACTGCTGAAACCCGTCCCTTTTTGTTGGTGAGTTTCACGACAACTGTAAAACGAATTATCTGAGAGCAAAAATCAAAACGGTTTCTTATTCTGTATCACATTGGTCATGGCCGGAACTACAATGAAGCATTTTTACCGAAACAAAAAGAAGCAGAAGAAAAAAAGGCGGACTTTTTAATTTTTTTTAACATTTTTTCAACTTAAATTGTTTATAAATTTGTTGGAAAAAAATCAAGACGCAAAACCACAAATTGAAAGAGGAATTCTATATATACTTCAGCGATTACAAAGCGCCAATTATATATACATTTTTTTAAATAACCGCATAGAGAGACATTTTTGAAGTAAAATGTCGATTAGATCATGTTGACAAGCTCAAAAGGTTCGGCTTGGAGAAAAAGGCGATTAAAGTATTTGTTCGGCCGGATTTACCGTTTGGCACGCTGCGCTCTCCCCTCTTCTGCGACTAATTCTATATTACTTCCAAGATTAATTAAAGCAGGTTGCAGGAAAAGTTTATTCGATTTTTTTTTAATTTTTAGAGGATTTTTTTTTTTAATTTGTGAAGCTCCCGATATTTTAGGATACCAAACACGCAATAATTAAGTCATCATTCTGAGTCTCTGCCTTAAGCTATCCTTTTATTTGCATGTCCTCAAACTAACTTGTCTAAGCTCCCTTCTCCTTATGGTACAAATTCATCGAAACTGCACATTTTCTGCGCCTCTCGTTTAATGATTTTCATGGCATTCACTTGCTGATGTTTAATTTTCTACTTCGAGACTCTCTACACCGACACAGCGTGTCTCGGTGAACTAATATCTTAATGACTGCTCCATATTGGCGTCCAACTGTGTTACTGCTCACCTTTGTTCGATAGCAAACTGCTTTTCTCCGACTTTTCCACTTCTTCATAACATGACATTTAATACTATCATCGGCGTAATCCACGGCGTCCCTTTTCACCAGCTGGACGAAGGAATACCATCTCGACTTGCTTTACTCCCACCATTGGGCAATAAGTTTTTCAGCGATTGCCAGATCCCCAACAAAATCCCCAGCAGTACTTGTTATAAGTTACACCGAACTGATTTCAACGTCAGGGGTGAGCGAGCCGCAAATAATTTTATTATATCTTGTAGGAGCTCCGATTTGAAACTTACCTGTAGGAGATCACCGAAATCCGATGTAATCCGCATTAACTCCGGTGTGTGTGTGTAGCTTGGTCTAAATACTGTTGCGGTTCAATTTTTACTTATTTAGGTTTGATCCCGATTCGCAATCCTAAAGTATGTCCTGCATGCGATGAGTTCCCGCTCAACACAAACCACCTCTACATAATTCTCGATCGAGATCGTCGAAACAACTCGTTTAATCGGCCTACCACTTGATAACCTCGAAGAAATGGACTTATTTTGAGTGCACTTAGGCGGTGTTTAGCAACAAGAAAAGTTCGGCGTTGAGAACTAGTATGAAAAACCTTCTTATGCCGCCTACACATCACACATACATAGCGAGGTTTTTATACCACCAGTTATGGAAGTCGCTATTGGAATGCTACCACAAGAATCACCTTTTTAGACTCATGCTAGAAGCAGATCCAGCACAAACACATCAGGAAAGAAGCACTCTGCTTTACGAACGCCATTGCGCAATATGAGAAAGAAACGCTGTACTACCGACAGTCCCTAAACCCGCCTCACAGAGAGTCAATAACATTTTCAGTAACTCTCACCTCGTTATCGGAGTCCAATCACCCAAAGTCCGACAAGCTTCACATTTTAGAGTAATACCTACTTACGCAAACTCGTCCCCATTAGTATAGTAAACTACTTTGACTTGCTCCGAACACCGAGCATGGGCTTCCAAGAATGTCTATATCCAAATTTTTCGCAGCCTGGTTAATTTAACGAAACATCATACCTGACATGACCAAAACTACTTAATTGATGCCTGGACTGCTGTTTTCAACCCTCACTTCATTCCTCTAAAAGTAGGGACCTACATAATTTGCTCAGCATGCACCACTGTTCTCCGGGAGAGCTGCTCAGTAACTCCATATAGAGGTAGTTGGTTCCAAGCACATCGAAACCCGCTAAAATCGAATATAAGGCTAGGGAAGTATTGAAGAGAAAATGATTGGCCAACACGAAGACGATTTCACGAAAGAAAGTATCTCTAGGCCGCATTCACTTAGTTTGGTAGACCGAAGAAACTTATACGACTGGAGCAATTGATCGTACTAAAAGTTTCGTTAAATTTGGTAAACAGTTTGGATTATTCGTATTACCGATTCCTATCTGTTTCCTGTTGACGTGATTTTTTTTTGTGGATGTAATAGATATCTTCAAAAGACTTGTTCATACAATATGTTCCTTAAGTCCGACGATACTATAATTCCGTAACTGGTTAAGTTAAAGAAACCCAAATTATTTGGTCGGCTCATCGAGTAATATAACTCATATACTTCCTCAGACTGCAAATAAACTTCAGAGTGGAAAAAAATCGTGTGTCAGGTTCATTCCAGCAGCATGACCTACAGTTTCGGCTGAATTCGGTTCTGCTGAGGAATATCCACGACAAAATCTAGGACTAAAAACAAAAATGGTTAATGTAGACTTAATTGGAGGGCGACTAGTTTCATTAATAAGTAATGAGTCCACGTTTAAGATGTCCACAATCCTCCCATCTTATCCCTCGGTCGGAGGGATTTGATTTTCGTATTGTTGTCAACATTGTAGTCTGACCAGTCTTTTTTTTTGCTCTTTGCAAGGAGACCAAAGGAGACCAGTTCGAGGTCGGTAAGTTGAGAACTGTCGCCGCGACAACACGTTTCGTGAACCATGTCGTTATCTCGTTTGGAAGATAAAACATCCGTTTGAGATTTATAATGAGATAAAGCCTATATATGGTGATAAAGTTATGAAAAGTACGAGACGAAATGAGCCTGCCTGCTCTTCGACAGTGCCAGACCATACACGGCCAACAACGTGAAGGAACTGCTGCCTCGTTCAAATGAGATGTCCTCAACCATCGCGCCTTTAGCACCTTCAGACTACTATTTTTTTTAACTCGCTGAAGCTGCACATGGGTGGAAAAAGGTTTTCAACCAACGAGAAGATAAAGGAAGAGGTGGAGCAGTGGACGAAGGGCTTGGCCAGAAACTACATCTAGATAGTCAACAAAAAAACTGATTTCTTTCTGGATCCACTTCAAATACACCAGTATTAAGTGAGTTTGGCGCTAATATGTGCGGCCTTTGCGTATGAGCGACTTCGCATACGTCAAAGATGGAATGATGAGCAATATCCTTGGATGTCTCTGATGTAATAACCGCTTGTAGTACGCTGAATAACTCAATTACTTTAGAGAAACTACAAAGAAGTGGTGACAGCAAATTTTTTACATCGAACCAGTGAGCGGTTTGGCCATTCCCCATCCGAAACGGTTGAGAAGGGCTTAAATGAGAATGGGCCATTCAAATGACAGTAGGAGGGTGTGGCAAATTTTCTACAATTGAAAATTCAGCACGCAAAAGAGAAATTAAGAGGATTTATATGAGAGCAATTAAAATTAGCGAGCATAATTTGAACACTAAACAATTAACGAGCTGAAACATAAACCCTGCACACACTCAGAAAAATCCCATTAGGAGCTCGGCCCTGCCCATTACAAAAGATCAAGGTTGCTCTCGGCTTTGCCAAGTGCGATTCTCACCCAATTGCTAACAACATCCATTGTTCTTTATGATTTTATTTACTTTTTTATGTTTATTTTTATATTTTTTTAATTTAATGCCTAAACACGGTCGGACCAACAACAAAGAATACACTAACCGACCGACCGACCGACATGAAAACCGCAAACTTATCTGATGTTTAAATGGCAGCTAAGGCGTCATAACCATTTCTTATCCATCATAAACCCGCCTCTCCGTTTGTTGTTAATCTTTTTTTTTCATTCTTCTGTTGGTATTGAAAAGCAAGGAGGCGCGCTTTTTTCTACGAATTGTGTGCGCGATCATTAATTTTGATGATTTTCGCGTTGGGCGCACATTCGGCTTTACGGCCAGCAGACAACAAATAGCAGCCAGAGGACAACATCCAGCATATGCGTTTTTGTAAATTTCAGTTTTTATGCGCTTCGTTGTTGGTGGTTTTGTTGTTGTTGAAATTTTTCAGTTATTTGTTGGATACTTTTCCGCGTCGCCTTTGTTTACGCGGATACTTCACTTACAATAAAAGCAAATGATGCGTGTGAAACAAGAGCAGTTACAGGCGCAACAACAATAAAAAATACAAAAAAAAGTGAGAGAAATGATACAAACGACTATGACATTATCAGCCACGGAAGGCAGCAGCTCAAATCACATGGCCGAAACAACGCAACGCCAGCATGGCTTCCATGGCTTCCATGTCAGTGTCATGTCCGTTTCCATTTCCGCTGATATGGTTGGCCACATTTGCATGGTTTTAAGGCGAACCCTGGCACAATCGCAATGGTAATCGGAAGACGCGCATATAACAACAGACAATCTAAAGTGGGAAAAATTTCAAGGTGCAATTGTGTGAAAAGTGTTTAAAAAAGGAGATATTTTGAGTTTCGAGAATCGTTAGGCAGAGCCATGTGGTGCAGTTTTTTTGTTGTTGTATTGTTTTTGCATATCGGATTCCACTGAAATATTTTTATTTACAAATATGTGTGGGCACGGTACCACGTCAGATGTGG